ATCAATAAACGGTTCATTCCATGGCTGCAATACTACCAATCAAGGCTAATTCCATTTTAGTAGGGTCCATCTCCAAAAATCATGGCCGTCATCATAGCTCAAGTCATTGTTATTAATTTTGTTTTACTACTCTTCATTTTCCTTGTGATTTTTTGCATTGTAGTGCGAAAGAAAGGGTTTCCAAATATCTACCGTTGGTGGTTGAGGCCTTTTTATCAATTAGGTTGATTGAGGAAGAACATCATGCTTTAGAATGGCTGAAATCATCATTGTTTTTTGTTTTGGTTTCTTTCTCGATGATACCCCTTACCAAAGCATGCACTGTTTTATCCACAATACAGTTATAGTTTTCTGACTTCGATAAAAGCCAGTATATTTTTATCAAAATTCTCCTGCATTTCCCGAGCATTTTCGTTGGCTGTTCTCGTTAATTCGTTCTATCATAATATGGCACTGCGTTTTCCCTCCATCCTTTAGTTCCACAGAAATTGCTTCATTACAATGCTAAGCGCCCCGGAAAAAGTCAAAGAGAGTTCCGCGGAGCGTTAGAATTTTCTCAATTCCATTTTCAGAAGTTGGGTTTGATACATCATTTACTTGTATCCGCGGTTATCCACATTGATAAGATCTCAATATTTGGAGTATTCAAACAGACATATATGGCATTTCCAATATCATAACCAGAAGCTTCTGCATAGCTGTAGACACACTGGTAATGACTTGAATTTATATCCTTCCTTTTAACAAAAAGGCACACCGTAAATTCCGTGAGATTAGATGAAATGGCATTTGCTTTGATGGCATAACTTTCGGTGGTAGACTGTTTAAAAATAATCCGGTAAGCTGTGGGGAAAAAATGAATGATTATGCAGTTATATCCGTCGACTCCATCTGTGCAAGTTGCATTGTTTTTGCAGGGATGGCTGTCACAAGTAACTTTTTGGGAGTATAAGATAACGTTTAGAATTTTCGTCAACACCATTTTGCTAAACGTCCTAGGCAACGGTAATGTAAAAGGAATATAGAAAAATTGTGGACCCTTACATGAAAGGCGTGGGGCCGATTTGACTCCGCTGACGCTCAGTCATTTTTCCGCTATTCCATGTACAAAACGCTTTGTGATCGGTCATTTTTCAATAAATATCAAACTTAGATCTGCTGATTTTGTTAACTTGAAAAAATATAAAATGTTAGACGTTTTGCGATTTATTTCAAATAAAAAATTATACATACACACATAAATTTTGAATCCCCCATATCTTTTCCATTCTTGTCAGTTTTCTATTTAACTTCTCTCTTAAAAAGCTCCGTTTTGTTTCGTTTCGTTTTTCTGTTTTTTTTTTTTTATCTGTTTGTTTTTAAGTCTCGGAGACAAATATTTTGCGTTGTATTTGACTTGACCGAAAGAACTTGACCACCTGCATTCTACTGTTCAAAGTTGTTCTTACCCAGCTCAGCACAAGTTTCTCCGGTCCAAGGGGGCTTGCACTTGCATGAATAAGTTTGTTTCTTCTCGTCATACACGCAAGCACCTCCATTTTTATAACTGTCAATTATTTGGCAGCCCTAACAAGAAGCAGTGACAGACTATACGTGTAAAAAAACTGTTCAGAACACGAATATGAATGTACTTTGGAATTATTCCAAAGAAGTGCTCAGCTTTTTTCTTGGACTTAATGATTCGAGCTAGGTATAATATTTCGGACCAAAAATTAATTGCCGTATCAATGAAAATGTAATGGTCGATTTCTGCCGTTATTTAGCCTGTAACAAAGAATAATGCATTTATAATTATATAAAGAGGGTAAGTTTCTAAAGAAACTGAGGTGCTGCTTCTGTAGGAGAGTATAACAAGGTAATTCAATATTATCAACTGAGTAGATGACGTAACTTGGCCTCCCTAGAGTTGAAAGCTGACGTTTCGAGCGTTAGCCCCTCGTCAGAGCGAAAGATGGAGGGCTAACGTCAGCTTCGAAACAGGGCATTTAAAGTTTTATTTGTTCCTCTTGTTTAACCGACTGACAGATTCTAAAGACTACTGGAAAGTTAAGTGTTTTCTTTGAAACATCCATCCTTTCATCTAATGGGTCACTTCTGATCCATCCAATCACCCATCTGCACATCCATCCATTTCATATCAGTATGGAAATGAAATTAGAGAAGATC